GAGTGTCCAAAGAACTTACAGAGTCGCAACCCGCAAGACATCATCCCAAACACCCTGACGAGTCTGGAACCAAAGATGCGTCACGAAATCGGCGATTTTGTGATACAGGTAGAGCACTAGAGTGCCCGGAGTTTTAAAGGGATTTGTGATATTAGCCACTATCTCAAATTCTGGAAGGGGTCCAATTTGAACGGAAGCATTATATGGACGATTTGGTGTTGATTGATTTAAGGTGTGAAAGAAGAGAGGCAGTATAGTGAGGAAAAGAACAATCACAACCGCGACCTTGGGATAGATATTGGACACTTTCTGCCTCTCGACCGCCTAAATAGAAAATACAAGAATTCAGAGTCTGCTTGGAACATTATGTTGGAAAGCTCATCTTGGCTGAGGTAGTACCATTGAGCCTTCCAAGAGAAATTCGTAGACTTAACCAGTGCGATCGAGTGTTCTATCCCACTAGATGTGCCCAATTTGGAGTAGACCTCATGACCTTTGACCTGTAGATACAAACAGCTATTTCCTTCTTGTGAGTGGGCATGCGAACAAACAGACAGAGGCTGTGTAGTGGACATTTTTTTCCTAAATTGCGCATATCAGTTACATTAGCCAAAGCAGCACATTTAAAAATTTGTGAAAACAATCGAACAAATGAATTGGCTAAGAAATCAATCTCGGTATAAGTAATCAAATTCCTGCATTTAATTAACGGAATAGTTCAATTACTAGAAGGTAAAATAAGGGGACACGTAGGCGAGAAATAGCCTACTTCATTCATATTTGCAATCCATACAGTTCTTGTAGCACATTTACTGAAGAAATGGGAAAGATAAAATTAGGGCAAATTTGTGACTTTGGGGAGTGTTTCTCCCTACGTTCGATTTGAGCACAGCTAATAAGGCCGATGAGCAAAATTGGTTGTGGAACTTTGTCTGTCGACGTGAATATTCGGTCAATTTCATTTCCGAATTGGTCTGATTGTGATAGAAAGCACGCATTCCCTAGCATTGACCAATACCATATTTAATCTCAAAGAGTTAGGAAGTTTTTATGGAATTTAAATTGCCAAGATGACCATAGTGATCACGACTTTCGCAAAGGTGACCTCATAAGGGTTAATTTCAAGGAGACACATTTCGAACGTTAGCTATTTCAAATTTTTGAAGTTCCATTACGAAAAAAACAAATTACCGCAGACACCCGAGTGAATGCAAACATTATGGTATATCATTTAATAAAAAGTAAATAAATAAATAAATAAATAAATATATATATATATATATATATAAATGCCTACTTGAATAATTCTCCAGCCAATGTCGAGAAGCGTGAAACTGATCTTTCGCATATGCTTGCCCTCCCACACGTAACAAGAAACTAAAAAAAATAACTATGATAAATAAACGATTTATTGCATAAATATTACAACATGAGGAATAGTTTTAGGATTTGCGACAAATAAACCAGGAACTTTACATTAAATGGATGCGTGGTAAACTCACCTCCACGTGGTGCACCGTGGGCAAACGTATATTCATACGGCAAATAGTCTACAAACCGCCAATTGACTTCTGACTTTAAACTACCATAACCTCACTGTATGTCACATTCGACCACTTCCACAGTACTCACCACACATTTTTTCTACCTTTGTGTCTGTCTGTCTCCTTTACATCTGTGATGCATATTTCTGTACCTCCCCTCTGTGAAACCCGAATTAAACTAAGGGCCAATGATAACTGTCATAAAACCTGCCATTTGATATAAATTTACATAAAGGAGACATCGATTTATGGTTGACTCGATCAATATCCTTAAGGCGGATAATTGTCACCCCAGGCCATTTTGAATGACACGGTGGTAAAACCATCTCAAGAAGGTTGCACAAAATATTAGGATGACAACGACGCCATAAATGGACATTGTAGAGAAATGGCCGAGCCATTAGTAATTAAGCAATGCATACACAATTTCAGTTGAATTCTGTTTAAAACACCACTGAACTGTTTGGTGAAAAAGAACCGAAGCTAAATGCACTTACCGCTCTCCGATTGCGAATACGAAGGATCCGACATGCCCTGCACACAGAAAATGACCAAAAAACATTAATTATTCAAAGAAGTACTTGAAATCGTAAAAATACCCCCCACCTGGATTGTATGGAAGTACCATAGTGCAAATGGCGCATCCAATCCGTTGACTTCTGTGCTTCCAGTCCAACCAGCCTTTTCTTCACTTGGACTCGCCGTCGAGTGAATACCCAGAACTGAACTTGGAGTCGAACTTGGTGAACCATCCTCTGTCAGACCAACGGTGCGCACAGAGAGTTTTTTCAAGCGTTTGGAGCCTGTTTTTCCAGCTGCAAGTGTGGGTGATCCAGTGGTGGATGTATTGGTTCGATGACTGCGTGAAGCGTGCTCTCGAAGAACAGACTGTTCATCATCAGAACCGGAAGTAGTCTCGTCACTTCGAACGTCGCTGTTCATACGCTCGTATTCCGTCTCGGACGCAGGGTGACCCTGTGGGAATTTTTAATAGACATCACTATTTTCAGTGCCTAATCTGAAGTTCTTGACGAATTATGTAGGCTAAATGAAAATTACATAATCCAAAAACGGAAGATTTAAAAAAAACATTCAAAATAATGAAGATTGAATGATCAAAGACAATAATTCCATTTGTGATAGAAGCTTAGGGAAAAGAAACAAAATGGCTGACGAGAAATTTCGAAGGAACTTTCATTCTCTTGAAAGTCACCTTCTTATTGGAATTCAAATTTTGTAGATCCCGAGTTCGACATTCACCATGTTTGAATCAGTATGATGAAGCGATGGCCAGGAGCAATGAAATCGATAGTGATCAGCACAACTGCCCTGATTGCTTCTTGAAGACTCGGGGGGCTAATGACAAATATCATGAAAGCCTGCCATTTGAAATGATAATAACTTCTTGAAGACTATAAAAGGGAATTGGAATGTCGATTACGCATAAGGAAGGATCCAGGCCACTATCGAGCGTTATCTGAATGAGATGTTAAGCATACTTATCAGCTGAATACCCCAATGCTAGAATCGAAGGCGTTGAATAAGCACCTAGAATGAATGTTAGAGACCACCTCCAGTTAAAATGATTAGCAAGTGGAGAAGACATTTCATGCAAGCTTCAGCCCATTTCAAGTGAAAACTCAAGTACATTTTTCACTTCCAAGCGTAGAAACGCGACTAATCCGTATAAACGATTAGGCCTTCTGAAAGGATGGATAAAAGCATTTACTCTGTCTGCGCCAAAAAAAATTCACGACCATTTGTATCAGTCAGACCACCTTCCTCGAGCAAAATTCGAGAAGCTGGTACCTTTAATTGGCATGCACAAATTATCAACTGACTTCCAACTCACAAAGCATTTCCACCTTACGGATATTGTTACTTCCATTATACAAACTCAAACTCCCTCTCAGTGTGCAATTAGCAGGTAGATAATAGATCTCTCGAGTGGACAAGTGTAATGGAATTTCGTAACCGGAAAGAATAGGTCCACATTTTAGCATAGGTAGTGCAGTGCACTTACAGCTAATGTAATAGGTAGAAATAGCCACTAACGTACAAGAATATATGCAATCAATTAACCAAAATGATACTTCCAATTTTAAAGATACTCTTCTCATGATCGTTTCGTTTCTTAATCGCAATATACAAATTTACGACATGAAGAAGCGCTAAACACTACTACCCAATACATTAAATTAGTTTATTTCCATCTGTAGATTTTATTGTTTTTTTAGTATAGTGAGGACCATTTATAATAAGTTCGAGAACAAAAAGTGCACATGAGTGCATGTTTAAAGTTGCTAAAAAAAACCGACACTCTGAACATTTTTGACACAACAGACATCAAAAGTAAGCACCCACAGCTCCAAGAGTGGCAAATACCGCAGACCAGAAAGAAGATCAATCGAAGAGGAACTTCGTCCCAAAAATCCAAAAATGAGCTAATTTTAATTTCTTTACTCCCAATTGAATGGAGTTTAGAAAATTGCCTTTCAGCCTAGTTACCTCGAGGAAACTACGTATGACAAATATTTTAGCTATATGACGTTATTAATTACAGCAATAGACCATATGGCAAGCAATTTCAGGTATGATACAAGCCTATATCCCAATTCTAAGATAGGAAAGAGACGAACAGCAAGAGGCAACTCCCCCCTCCACCCCCAATCTGTCGACAAAGAACTCAAGTCAACCTCACGAATATGCCACGAAATTGTGACACTAGTATTAATCAGATAATTAGACAGATATGTCTGAATAGGTGTAAAACGTGCATTCAGTCGGAAATTTTAATGCCACTTATGAATTCCTAACCTTGTATAAAAAGAGACTACTGCTAAATAGTTACATTATAAGGATGCAGCTAATTGATTTAATAAAGTTCGAACCCCCCCTTAATGGCGTTAATGGCACCTTAGCCAATTTGTACACCAGACTTCCTCATGTAACAATAAAAAAACAAATTGCATACAAGGAGAAAACATGCCAGGCGGTTTTCAAAAGTCGTATTAGGAGAAGATAAATAAATTTGTTCAGCGATCTCGTGTCGAAACCTTCTTCGAGTCCCATACACTAACGCATTCCACTTGACCCAAAGTAGTTACTGTATAGAAGTTAGTTCTTTTTGTTTCAAACAGAAGCTTGTTTTGGTGGAACTTTCGAAAATTTATTTTTAATTTCCACAGAGAATTAATAGAGTCCAGAGATCAGGAGGAAGAAGAGCACCAATTAAGACAAGATGACAGTGGTTGACATCTTCAGGCTGGAGTAGAAATTGAAAAAAGTTTAGGGTTTTTTTATTTCATAAGGACATGGGTGGGACTATGATATAGGAGGGCGAGATTTATGAAGTGCTCAACTTGGCCGCTATACTTGGGGAATCGAATGCACAAGTTGTGCTTCACAAGGAAAGTCAATGGATTTCGATTTTGAACAGACGGAGGCAATAATTTTATCTAAAGGACTCTGTTTCTTAATCTTTCACAAGATGGTAATCATATCTAGTACTGTGGACGACCAAACATCTTGATTAATTGCGACTCTATTCTACCCTCCTTCTACCCATGTGAAATGATATGAGGACCTCTTCTTATGGAGTTTAAAAGTGCCACTAAACCTACCAATCGAATTTAGAGCCAACCCGAAGAGTTTACAGAAATGCAACAACAAAAAAAGGAGTTGAGAATAGGAAGAGATCCCACTTTTTGACAATAATTTGCACCGCATTAACAGGATGAAAGAATAGATTTCCCCAGTTAATAAAGGAAGGAGAATATTTGTCTTCCTCCAACCATTTTGGTGGGAAAGAACATGATGAATTGCCGCGACAAGATTGACCACCATGATCACAAGCCCCTCGACGACATCGAAGACAAAAAAACAACGTTGCAATCCGGAAGATAAATCAAAAAATATTTAATTTTAGAACCGAGGACCAAATTTAGTACCTATTCAACAGCTCAAATTAAAGAATAAACCGAAGTGAGACTCCTTGATACCTTGAAGCAATCAAGTCGCAAAAAAATGACGCAGAGGGGGCGAGGGGGTTTCAAGAAAAGGCCTGCCAAGTAGATTGCGTCGAATTTCAACTTGACTTGATCTGATTTATAGATTTCTGCAATTCTTTACGCCTTTGAAAAAAGAGTTATTCAACAGTGAAATAAAAAAGGTCCGATTGTACGGCGTCATAGCACACACAGCAGAAGTCAAAGTGGAAATAACAAGTCAGGCTGACGTGATACTTTTTAACCTCGAGTGTAAATATTAGGGGAAAAACAGATACGACTTTCACCTTGGAAAGACACGACGTGACTAGGCGAAGTCGAAATATGGCTAGCCTACAAAATGAATGAAAAAAAATGGATCCCACAGGCTAACTCATAATCAGCTCCAAGATCACGATTAATTGAGTCGCCAAAACGATAGTCCTCAACTCTGCGGTGGAATACAAAAGAACACCGATGCGCGCGCGCGAAGCTTGGACAACACGCATGATAAGGTCTTAAAGGTCAACCAACGACAACTGTTAGCTTAACGCCACTGAGAGCCATACACCTATCCAACTAAAGCAGCACATTGTAAAAGGGACAATGAGAATGCATTTCATTCTATTAAATTAGAGAACAAACAAAAACAGGCACACAAAACACGTGAATAGAGAGCGAAGAGTGGGATACGGAAGGGAGGAGGATGAGGAGGATGAGTAGGCAGAAAGTAGAAACAGGCCATTCAAACCAGAGGGAGGAAGGGGGTGGGGGGGGAGGAGGGTTAGTAAGTATTTAGTAATGATAACCAACTCGGCCACAGCTGATGCAGTAGCCATGCCAATGCCAAGCAGGTTGCGAGGGGGCGGGCGGGCGGGCGGCGGGGGGGGAGGGGGACACGAGGGAAAGGCAAAATGGGGATTGGGGAGAGCTGTGCAAACTTTACCTTGAGTCTTGGCAATCTGCCACTTCTCTAACAAAACACATTGAAAAAGGAGAGTATTATTACCAAAAATGAGTGCACAAGTAGAAAATATAATCTCCTAGGCAAGTAGATTTTAAGTGGTAACTAGCCCCTATGCACATTCTAAACCGCTTATTTAGATATTTTATGGATTTCTAGCACCATCGATCTTCTTTTCATCTTCACCTAAATCATGAAAAAGAACAAAAAAAGACATCTAAAAGTGCCGCTGAGTGCTGAATGAAACTGCTACTGGAGTGTAGCAAAATTTGTTACATTTATTTATTTACTCCCACCCTAAGTGGTAAAAGGTATATAAGTAAAGGAATCAAATAAACCGACCAATAGCCTGAATGTCCTTGACACAACCTCCTCCATGAGCCTCAAGGTCAAATGGTGAAAGGCGATATACGCATTTATATGGTACAATTTAAACTCTTCTCCTTATGAGAATATGAAAGTCACGCGATGCTTCCGAATTTAATCATAGTATGAATCAATCAATTGCTCGCCTTTCGTATCCTCTAATACCACCTTTCTGTTCCTCTTATTCAGGCGTGAGATCCCTGAAATATTGGGATGATAAAAAAACGGGGCCACAAAACTCATGCAACCAAAAAACACCCCACTCTGGTGTAAAAAAAATGAACGGTACTAATTAAAAGTGGAATTGGACAGTGGAATGGTGTAGTAGTGGAGACACAGGAACTAATTTTAACTAGGGCAATTAAAAGTGGGCAAAATTTTTTCGTCGTCGAGCTAAGGTCACCAACAGCACTGACCCCCAATCAGGTGATGTCAGTTGGGGAGCATCTAAGGCCACATTAAGTTCCTCGCAAAACTAGTTCAAAACATCCCTTAAGATGATCACCAAAAAAAAACGTTCCCAAGATAACCGAAATTGAAAAGCAAAAAAAAAATTAAGAGCAAATTTTATGCGCAGAAGTGTTAATGAAATTCATCGACCCAGAATCATAAGGTGTTTGTTACTTACGGATGATTCCACAGGGGAATTTTTCTTCATAAAATTCACGTTTTTTGTCCTACCAGAGGGCACTGAAGTACGCTTTTGAGCCACATTCGACCCCCTGCAAAAAAAAACAAGTTCGCGTCAGTAACCAAAAGAGCCTACAGTGGAAATGAGACATACCTGCGGCCAGGAATCACTATCGTAAGGTTGGAATTCGATGTATTTTTCGAATTTTGAAGTACGGATAGGGACTCAGGAGGAGTGAGATTGGACTTTATAAGGGCTTGAGCATCCTCCCCACCTTTAGACCTTTGATTATGATAACGATGGTAGGTGGCGCGTTGAACGAAGATCTTATAGAAGTTAGCCCGTTGGCGTCGGTTTGCCATAAAAGTTTCATTCACCTCCACATCATCTTCATCAAAGTCGTTATCGTCAACGTCAGCTTCCTCTGGACCTCCTTCCAATGCTTCGCCTTCAGTCGGCTCGTCGTTGCCGTCCTCTTCATCCTCGTCCTGTTGGTCCTTGCTTTCACTTTCTTCCTTTATTTCATCCAAGTCTAGAGGTTCAATTGAGTCGTGTTCTCCACTTATACCTATATGATAGTTGAATGTGAAAATAAAGAAGACACATGGAAGCTGAAAGCAATCATGTCATATCTACTGCACAACTCAATACCCCTAGGCTTTACTGGATTAGTTGAAACACTTTAAGAACATTGCCGCTGCTAGAGGACATATTATGTGAATTTGGCGTTCGACTTGTCCAACTATTGTGTTTTCTGAATGTTAATATTGCATCGAGGGTATGTGGTAGACTTGCCTCCACGTGGCGCACCCTGGACAACGCATACTCATACGGCAAAAAAGTCTATTAATCGTCAGTTGACTCCTCACTACAAACTACCCCATGACGCCACTTCTACAGTACTCACCTTATCCTACTCTCGACCTTTGTGTCTGTCTCTTTTATAACTTTGAAACACTCTTTTGTCTCCCCCCCCTCTTGACTTTCTTCCTCTTTGATGTTCCTCCTCCCCTCTGTGAAGCCCGAAGTCAACTAAAGGGCTAATGATATCCATCAAAACGCCTGCCATTTGATAAATAAATAAATATTGCATCAAGTGGCCCCACTGGTTATGCCTCTAAGGCAGCCGAGGTTTCCGTCGACTTGTTACTGCAAACTCATTTCCTGACGCAGTGGTCATGTGACGCGATCCAGATCAAACTCGCTCATAGCACTAATAGTGGAAAGGACCAATACCCCGAAGGGTTATAAAATTTGAAGGGATTGCAAGGGGACAAAGTGACTATTGGTGATGTAGGAGCAAAATAAGAACAAAAGTCAGACCAACTATTGGAAAATTTGACCAGCTTTGAGGAAAATTGACTAGAAATGAACAAGTAGTACGATAATTACGCTTGACAAAAAACATTCAAAAGGAACAAAAAAAAATCAGTTGTCCCCAGGGTCACTAGGTCGTGGAAGCTAAGAGTTGCGCAGGTCGAAGTGCAGTGAACAATAAAAGAAAACAAGGACTCGAGAAAGTGGCAGAGAGAAGTTGAGAGGGAAGCGCACTAGCAGATAACGGCGAGTGCGTGTGGGGGGAGGTCAGTTTATATATGAGTCACTAGGACGACAGGGACGAGGGGAGGGGAGGGGAGGGGGTGATGGGAACACTGGAGAATCGATAAGCTCGTTTAGATATGTTCGAGGTGTGAGTCATGGAGACCAAAAAAAAAAAATATACACCCAAGACCCATGTCCTTTTCCGAAATAGAAAAAAAATGTGACCAAGATTAATTTTGAAAAGTGTAGAGTGGGTCATCCACCTTTGCGGTCTCATTCTCCAAAGAACAAGAGGAAGATAGCCTAGCCTTTGCTTTAAGGAGTCACGTATCAGGAACAGGAGAGTTCAAATTTGCACGGGATGATTAACACAAAAAGACAATAATGGCAATCACTAATGCCTCTGGAATTCAAATGAAGGACTGGTTCCTCCTCGTTAGTAAAGCATGCGAAGATTAGTCCTATGACATGGACAATGAGAACAATAGGACTGACTTAGCAGAGAAGCTCTACTGATGCTTACAGGAAAACGCGGCATATTAAAAATTAATTGTATGCATATAATTTAAGGCCACTTCCCTGAGGGTAGAAGCTTCCCAACCAAGCAGGATAGAGGAGGCGTTTAAGAGCAAATTGGTCAAGGTCGATTAAGGACAAACCCCAATTAGATTTTACCGTGCGTTGGTTTGACACAGAGCAAAAAAGAGATTCACGCAGTCAAAAGGAGATGTGTGGCATGTGGGCGGATTCGAGTCCTGTCCAGTAAGATGGACAGATGGAAAGTAGCATCGTAGTAAAATGAAATGTTGAAAATCCGACGAAACCGGCTACTCTCTTACCACTGAATGCTGATTCTAATGGTCAGAAGAGAAAAGCTAATAGATTTTCTCAGAGTTGAAATAACGGCGGGATCCCTTGATCTCACGATTGCTAACTTTACCTGAGAAGAAAACATGACATTTTCCAATAATTTGCCGCCTGAAGTGTGAGATAGACTTACCCCCACGTGGTGCACCCGGGGCAACGTATACTCATACGGCAAAAAGGTCTATTAACCGGCAGTTGACTTCCCACTTCAAAATACCATCTCCACACTGTATGTCCTATTCCACCACTTCCACAGTACTCACCTTACCTTTTAATCTTCTTTTGTGTCGGTCTATATCTTTTGCATCCCTGAATCACTTATCCGTTCCCACTCTCGAATTTTTTTCACTTTGATGTTCGTCCCCTCTGTTAAGCCCGAAGTCAGCTAAAGGGCTATTGATGACTATCTAAACGCCTGCCATTTGATATAACTTAATAATTTTCCGCCTTCACCTCTGATTAAGCTGATTGGAGGGAGTCTTACGATTAAACGCTGGACTCAATACCGAATATAGGAATAGATTTCAAAAGGAATTAAATTACCTTTTGGACGTTCTTCCTCTTTGGGAGACAGGATTGGCTGAAATACAAAGTTGTTGTTAGAAACGGCCAATAGCATATAACATGAAATATATTTAATAATGGAAACTAACTCGTTTGGATATGCTTCCGTTCGCATTAGAATCTCTAAATAAAGAAAAAATACAACTAGTTAATGGGGCTTGCGGGTTATTATGAACTAAACAAGCACATTCACGACATCGGAACCGCAGGTAAAGAAGACTTGCAGAGTTAAGTGCGGAAACTATAGTAACGATACTTTTGACAAGGCAGTGCGTACAAAAGTCCACTCTTGTAACAAAATTTTAGAGAACACATTTCGAGAGCAAAAGTACTGCAATTAATTAACATGCATATATATTTCTCAAACAAGTTACAACTCCGATAAAAAAAATTAGTGATATTAAAGTCACCAATAAAAAAAACGTACGCTTCATTTTGAGGGAGCCGAGAACCTACAATTATAAAAAAACGCAATTGTACTATTAATCTCCTAACTCTTTAATCGTATTAATAAGTCCAGATTGTTGGCATAATTGAAGCAAATAAGCAGTTAATACTTTTGAGGAAAATGACAATATCTTGATTTATCATACACAGTGTTAATAAAAGAACGATTGTGACAACAGACCACACTGGCAATATTCACAAGGATCAAATATATTAAGGGCGTGGGAAAATAGATTCCTCCCTTTGAAGTAAGTAACACTTTTGATCCGAACGGTAAAACTTATCTCCTGTTAGAGTAAACAAACAAGAGCTGAAGAGGAAAACAAAGACCCTAGACAAAGTAGCTGCACTCTACTCGAGAAGGTAACAAAGAGGAGATGAGAGAGAGAAGCGAATGAGCAGAAAAAATGTACTCAAAGACAACTGAAGTCATTTGGACAAAGATGCCCGTTAAGAAATGAGTCTATTGTACTGTTAAATGAAACGGATCAGTTAAAGAACGAGAATCGAAATATTCGTACAGACATAACAGATGAGGGCTTGAGTCATTTATTTATTTCAAATGGCAGGCGTTTTGATAGCTATCATTAACCATTTTAGCTGACTTCGGGCTTCACAGAGGGAAGGTTCATCAAATTAGCAGAAAGTCGAGGAGTGGGGAACAGAAGATCGATTCACAGATGTAAAAGAGGCAGACAGACACAAAGGTAGAGAAAAAGGTAAGATGAGTACTGTGGAAGGGACCGAATATGTCAAGCAGTCGGGCCATGGTAGTTTGAAGTGAGAAGTCAACTGCCGGTTAATGATTATACGTTGCCCAGGGTGCACCAAGTGGAGGTAAGTCTCCCATACCCCGGGCTTGAGTCATAGGATCATAAACCGGAAATTCAATGCATTTTTTTTATGGAATGCATAGAAATTGCGGATAATTCATAGAACTGACTTCGTTGATGATCATGCAATGCCATCATTGCAGGTTTTTTGGCAATAGTTGCAAATTAGAATGTTCCAGTGTTAAATTGACACTGGCACTCGACTAAATGTTGAGCGCAAATTCCCAGAGACTTTGAATTGAAAAAAGGACAGGAATTAATTCAATGAAATTAACTTTATTAAAAAAGTAGACAGCCTTATAAATTCAACGACTTATCCTAATTCCTTTAATGCATCAAAATCACCCTCAATAGTGCTTTGTAGCTAATCAAAATAAAAAAGTTGAGTTTGTTCACAAAGAGCTAAAATCGCTGAAAGAATAAATTCATTATGAATACATTCAGCAAATAATCGTAGTTAGAAAGGAGCTACCACACTATTGCTGTGAACATCCGTCGAACACGGAATACAGGCCTAAGTACACAAGCTACCATACTCACAGCGATCACCTATCGAGAACCCAAGTGGTCTCGTACCTCCTACTAACGTATTCCCCCACTATGCTCACCTGTCCAATATCCACAAATGACTTTGCTAATAGCTGCTTAAATGAACCATGGATTTATAAATACCCCCCCCCCCATGTAAAGACATATGGCATAGCTACGTTTCACTTGATTTGTTCGCAAATCGTCCCCACTTCCGCTTTTGGATCAGCTTCTCTCTCAACAAACTGCACTCACTACTGCCTTGTCTTCTCCCCATCCTGCTCTGTGGCGAATATCGGCAGTGGTAACTTGGAGCTATCTTCTCGTATACAACAACAGTTGTATTCTTCTTCTTCTTCTTCAAAGTCATTAACCTCTACAGCGAACTTTTCGGCACTTTGTCGAATTCCCGTCCCTCCCCCCCCCCTCTTTAGATAACAAACAATGGGTGACAAATTTGTAAGATTTGAGGAAAAAAAAAACACCATGACTCAGTTAGGATAAAGAAGCTTCTCTTTAAAATATTTAAATTTAATTAATGTTTAATTGTTGTAATAATGCTATTTCTCCACCGATATATTTATTTGCGAAATTCTCTGCTCAAATTTTATGACGCAAATAGGGCGATAATGCTGATAGTTAAATAATTAACGAATAGGGAATTCTCATGTTTGCTCTTAGTAAAAGAATGCGAGTTATTGAAAAAAAATTAGTTTGTTTTTGTTAAGGATTTTAGGGGCTAAAGTGATGGGTTAGTTAAAAATGGCTTAATTGTTGCACGTAGAAAGGCGATTTAAAAATGTGGGCATTGTGGGGACATTGGAATTTCACTACTGAACGGGAAAATAGCTTTTTTCTACTGAGGCAAATAATTTATAAGGAAACAAATTTTTAAAATAAATTGTGCTGCAGTAGTGGAAAATTAGGCATGACGTGATGGTGGAATGCAGGAAATTGAGAAATCAAATTGCTTGATAGTACTTTGAAACACTTTCCATGAAGAGGGCCATACATCAGGGAGGTGGGAGGGGGGGGGGCGAGTTTTAAGTTGAAGTGGATTTGATTTATTCTGAGTAATAATATCTAGAACCGTGACAACAAACCTATGAGAGAGAGAGATCGATGCCCTAGGATGGACATAAATGTCCTCTTGATTCAATCTACTAGGCACATGAGTCATCAGGCAACAAAAAAACCTACCCAATCTTCTAGTCAAGAAGGCTGCCTGTCTGAAAGCCATGACTTGTGGCACATTAAATTGACCGCATTAATTAAGGAAGTCGACAATCTGGTTAATGCACATGCAGTAAC